AGAGCCACGCTCGTGGGAAAGCCCGCTGCCCATCACGCGTGTCGTTGGGAAGTTCCTTTGCCGTTGGGGACCGCGAGGTGCGTGTCCGTTTTGTGTTTTCTTTGGGTGTTTATTTTCTTTTATTTCACAACTCCCAATTCCCAAACCCCATGCTTTTCGCATTCTTTTGGTTTTTCCCCGTTTCTTTTTTTTCATTGTTTGCTGGGGGTCCGATCCGCCGGGCCACCACCCCGCACACCACGCCCAACAACAAAGAGCGACACCATGAAGGAGAACGGGATCCATTCCCCACACTCTTTGAACAATGCACGTTGAAATCATCATGGCATCACCCTTTGGAAATTCCACCGAGGGAAAAGAACAACGGCCACCCGCCACATACCCCATTCATTAATTGCGCCCCAAAAAAAAGAGTGGGGAAGCCAAACAACATCCAACACCAAAAGAGGAATAAATAAAACCAACGGGGGAGCCGAATCCCCAACAATTCCCCATATTTTCTTCACGATTTCCATTGGAATTCCAAAGGATTCAAGGTGCAATGACGGCATACCAAGTAAAAGTATACCTAATGTAATTTACCTTCTTTGCTGAACCCATGAAGTGCAAGAAAAAACAAAAAGAGAAACAGAAAATATTTTTATTGGTTTGACCCCTCGTTTCAAGAGAGATCCCCCTTGGGGAGTGGCAAGCAGCAGAATAGTTTAAAACACTTTCCCGCCACGCAGAGTGAGAGCATCCGTTGTATTTTGATAACTTTTCCTCCCATCATGCACAAAAAGGTTAACACTAACAAAGGGTCTCTTGGTGGGTTCACCATCTCCCCTCCTTTCCCCTTCAGGCGCTAGAGAAAACCACTGCAAGAGGGGCGGCAGTGCAACAGACAACACACACTTTCGTCTCTGCTTTTCGTCGGCACTACACCCCTCATCGCCGTCACCATCATCAGTCTGCAATAATATGGAAAAGATTGACAACAACAATGACTATTCCCAAAAACAGCAACATAAACTTTATTTTATTTTGCATCACACCCTGCGCGCAAGAAAAACACAACCCAAGTGAAAAATACAAACTACACCAAAGGAGTTACACCATAGTATAGCGGCAGCATCGTTGTCGCTTCTATTGCAATGTGGAAAAGAATATGCCCACACACACAGTAGAGTGGACACAACGCCAAATGGGTTAGGGCATTGCTCTGCAGTCCCAAAAAGAGAAAAGAGAGCAATAGTTGTATGCCCATCCGTTTGTAGAGAGACGGGAAAAGAAAAAAACGCAAAACTCTCAACAGGCTTCGGGGGTGCGCCATTCTTCTTCGCTAAAATCATGGAAATGCTTCTTCTTTTTGGAGTGAAGGTTTCTTTCACGCAGACACAGCCATCCCAAAAGGGAATCACGCAAACATTGGGTGATCTTCTTTACCACTACGACCCTTCGGTTGGCAGAAGAGGCATTATGAAATAGAAAAGGACCTCTTGATTCAAGGGGTCTAAATCTGTGCAAATTGCGTGGGTTCCCAAATGACCCCTACACGATCACCAAAAGATTTCTCCAGGCCATTCCCAAGCAATTCGCCACACAAATATCACCTCTACTTGTTTGCATAAATACAAAACATTCCCCACTCACCCTTTCCTAGAGATGTGTGTCATGAGGTCCAGTAGTCAAGAATAAGATTTATCATATTTTTTTTTCTGTGCAGAACTCTTTCCCACAGTCTTCCATGTCAATAGCTGCGGTGGGATTGATCTTTTCAATTCCACACCGAATCCATCAACACACACAGAGAGAGACCCACCCCATTATTTTCATTGAAATCCACAATGTTTATGCTTTCAAAATAATAATGGAATAAGTCAATCAGTTTAACTACCACTGTGAGAATATAGTCCCACTCAGTAACACTCTCTCTTGACTGTGGCGTACAATATTCACCCTGGTCGACACACACCCTACAGTGTTGTTTGCATTGCTGGAGGTGGATCAACATTCATTAACTTTAGGCCCTCTCTAGGCATCACCTCATCATGTGTATGTTGTTTAACAGTGACATCAATCTCCTCACTAATCAAACGAAACTCCATTCTCTCTTTTACTTCTACTCCTTTTTCTCTCACTGTATTTTTTGATTTTCTATTGATTGCAGAGTCACTTCTGCAACAACAAATCACAATGAATGAAAAAAAAGAGTAGAGAGACAAAACGAACGAGAGAGTGCAGTAACTGGCTTAAAAAACATTTAAACAAACCCTCACTGATTACCAGCCGATCTGGAACCACAATCTGCAAGAATACCACAGACATCAGAAAGACAAAACAAAATGTCCTTGCAAATCCCAATCGGATGAGCAATAGTGTACGAAATGAATTTATGGCTGTACATATGCACAACACCTTTCAGGTGAATGAAAGAAAGTGTCACACACACACAACTGAGAAATTCAGTATCCCAATGAGGAGATAATGTGTGTGCACATATGTGTGGGAGGGAAGCAGAGTACCAACTGCAGTTGCATCAAAGACTCCCACATGCAAATACACCAGAATAAATAAATATGTATATGTATATGGAAAGTTATTCTCCAATCCACTATACTTCTATTCCCTCTTCTTTACATCACTGCACCATTTCATCATCTTCACTGTTCCACACTCCATTGGGCTGTTCAATGTATTTCTTGTTCTGCTGCCGTTTGATTGAGATTCCCCAGTTACCAATATTGCCCTTCACGGCGGTGTATACTCCCATTAGAATGAACACAACTCAGTGCCACCATCAACCCATCGCTTCTACCACTTACATTCCCTGAGAGGGTTGTGGAAAACAAAGAAATAAGAAAGAGAAAAGAGGCAACACATATAAAAAACAGCACAACAAAAACGTCAGCATAGAAACAACTACAGAAAAACATCAACTTCTTAGCCAGAACACTTCCATTTATTAAAAAAAAAAGAAGAAAAAATGCCCAATAATAATAAGAATCCCAAGTTTATGTTTACTGTTTATCCGACACTGTCGTCGCTCTCTCAGCATATATTTGCACTCCATTGTATGAGACAACAAACAGTGGGATTCTGCAGAATGCATATATGAAGAATTATAAATTTTCAGAAAATGAATTTAAAATCATAGCAAAAAAAAAAATTATTAACAATTAAAAGATTTTTTTCAATGAAATGAAGAATGCTCAAAAAAAAAAGAAAAAAGGACCAATAATAAAAAACTCAAGTATATTTTTATTCTTCACCTTACACTGTCGTCGCTTTCCCATCATATATTTGCACTCCATTGTATGTGATAACAAACATTTGGATTCTGCAAAATGTATATTTGATAATAATTCATTTTCAGAAAATGAAAAAAAAATCATAGCAAAAAAAAAAATCATTAACAATTAAAGTAAAAATTTCCAATGCGGCGAAGAACGCTGAAAAAAAAAGAAAAAAAAAGAACAAAAAAAAGAACGGCCAATGTATTGCGGTTTATGGGATTCGTTTCAAAGGGCCGTATTTAGCAAAAGTGTTTATTATTCTGAATATGGATTGAGCTCTCATGGAACTATCACAAAACCAACAACACACACAAGAAGTGCAAGAGGGACCATGTAGGAGGAGACGGTGCTGCCGTCAGTACCGAACATAACCGTTACATTTGTTTGTTTTAGTGTTTCTTCTTTTATTTGCCTCTCAGCGATTGTTGTCCCATTCAAAACAGTGTTTGGGGACTGTATTGCGTCTTCATTGCCGTTGGGATTAGCTGCGGATTGAGAAGTAGTAGCATCAGTATCACGACGCCTTCTCTGTGGACCCCGTCGTTCCTCCCTGGCACTTTCAGTGTTGGTAGAATTTCCTTGTGGTGCAGCACTGGCCTGCTGAGAACTGCCGTTGACATCAGGGGCTGCTGGAGCACTTCCCCCTTGTGTATTAGCGGACGTTTGAGTGTCAGCATTTGCCAAGTCACCGCTTGCTTCCGAATTAGTGCTCGAGTTGCTCTGTACTTCGGCTTCCTTCTTTTTCTCCTCCTGTTTAGGCTCTTCATCCTCAGGCACATTAACCACATTGTATGAAATGTTAAAAGGATCAGTTCCCGTCTCTTTCGTGCACACTTCCTCGAATTTGGGACACACAATAGTTCCACTCTTGAACACTGAACCCTCCACATCATCGATAGTTACCTCGTCATCGCTGCACTTATGCCACTTATTTTCATCATAACCTTTGAGCTGTACACTCACCGTCTGCTTGTCCTTATCACACTTCACTTTTGCACAAATGCCTTGAACCTTCACTTTCTTTCCATTTTCATCGATTTCCACCGGTTCCTCCACATCCAGACACCGTGACATATTGCTCACAATACTTCCAGGCATCAGTGTCTCATCACCAGTCTCGCACATGGTCTGTTGAAACGGCTTAATGATGGGACACTCTTTCATCATTTCACTCTGTTCACCAACAGCTTCAAAGAACTTGTACCCATCGGGCATACCATGCGTGTTGTCGTCCTCGGAGCAGACACCAAGACCAAAGCGATCAGAGGTACACTGTAATGAGTGCTCACCGTCACTTTCCTTGCAGAAGGTCTTGGAGAGGTTCCCCAAGTCTTTTTCGATGATATCTTTGCACGTGCTTGTAAAGAGTTCACATCCAAATCCTTTCCCCCAACTCATGGGTTCTGCCATGTCGAAATCAGCTTGGTAGAAATCCATTGCATCAAATACTGCAAGCGTCAGTGCCGTGTAGAACATTCCAGTGGGTTCACCAGTGTACGGACTCATCAACTCATCTTTTGCGATGCGCCTCTCCCACTCTGAGTGGCTCGTGCTGCCGTTATAACGCAAAATCATTCCCGCGTAGTCTTGGCAGTTGTAATGCTCCACCATCTTCTTCTTCACATTGCCACTTAACACCACCTTGGTGGACCTCTTTGGTACGCCATTCACAGTAATTGGTAGGGTCCCTGCTATGGGTTCGATGTCCACGAACTCCCCAAACCCAAGTCCAAATGCAATATTGCGCGCAGCCAAGCGAATTTGATATCTCGTTGCGTTAATCTCCTTCGGGACAAAACTGATACGGGCAGATGTCGGTCGGACCTGATTATTTTTGTCTCTTGTGCAAATATGATAGTCTTGCCCATATGGCGAGAGACGCACGTAAAGCATAAAATCAGCATCGGAAACACCAGAATCTAAATGCTCTTCGGGTACCAAGAACTGGTCGCAAATTCTTATCAATGGATGTGAGATGTCCCCTTCATAATCCTCTTTCCATAGCTTCAGGTTCCCTTGCAATGGCTTCACTTTAAGGCGATCTGTGTGCAATTTAATTGCTTGGGGCAGGAGATCCCTAAAAAGAATATGCATCCTCTTTGTTGTCATTTTATTTTCACCGGTACAAAGTTTTTCAAACTGGCTTTCAAGATTTTTTTTAAGGTCTGTAGTTTTATCGTACTCAGACGGCATTTCTTTCTTATTGCAGTAATTCATCACATCCTCCACATATTTTGTATACACAGCAATGCGGATGGGCTGCCAATCCTCACCAGCCTTAGCAGCAGTAGAGACGGTGTATGCCTGTAGAGCACTTTCTCCTTTTTGTGGTAACTGCTGCACAACAGCAGCCAAACACCCGCAGCTGCAGTACAACAGGAACAGTGCAGCCCATAGCAGGTAACGCATGGAGTGTTTCTCCATTTTGTAGTGTGACTGTTTTTTTGTTTTTGTGTTGCTTTGCTAAGGTACACACAGAGTAAAGAGAAAAAAAAAGAAGAAGAGGAAGAAAAGGGAGAGAATAAAAGGTAAGCATAAAGAAACATTATATTAGATCTAGCAGATAATTAAACACATCTATACACATCAAAAGTAATACTCTTAGAAAGAGAAGAATAGTAGTTATGCCAAAAGTAGAATGAGAAAAGACATCAATATACCCTTTCGTGGTACATACATACCAACAGTATCAACATCAATGCACTGTGAGCAGATTTGGTGTTTTATTGTGTTTGTAAAAAAATGCAGAGAATAATAAATAGTAATAATAATGAGTGCTGTACTGCCTTTAAACAAGTAAAAAAGATAGAAAGATCCCATGAAAAGAGTGAATGATACCATGTGTTTAGATCTGTCCTTTGTATTAGAAAAAGACTGTGTAACTCATGCTTGACTAACCCACCAACTCAACTTGATATTTTTTATTTTTCCTTTTGCTCATCCATGTCAGGAGTAGAAGAGCATAATAAAAGAAAAAATACACATCAGAAGAGCCATAAAATAATAGAAGAGGGGATTACATGAAATATTTCATCAGCTACAAAAACACTCCTGTACTAATTATCATAACCACAACATATACACAGAACACTATCTATAAGAGCACTACTCACATTTCCAAGAGAAAGTAACATGTACAACACACTCCTCAGTGATCCACTCCCTGTAGTTGTTGTTGTTTTCCCCTGTAGAATAGCAGTAATCCCATGTACATGGGGAGTTGTGTACGCCTTCTATTAATACTCTTTCAGT